AGAAGTAGCTTCACACAAACATGCTTGCTAATGCTGAAAAACTCATTGCCTCTGTCTGCAAAAGCCTTGGCATTGTTCAGCTTGACTCTCCACCATCTCCCCATGCCCTTTTGAGTACAAAGTGACCTTCAAAATCCTGTAAAATATTTCCTATTCATGAACAGATAGAATGTGTAGCCTGTGATGACTGGATCTCTCCAGATAGGATTTCACCTCCCTAAAAACTTTGTAAACGTTTTTTTCAACTGGACAGGGTTCAGCAAAGAACTGGACTATTTATGTGGTTGAGCCTGTCTCTGTCCTTAACGAACGTCTTACTCTATCTAGATTTTGCGTGAGCTGCTGTGCCTGCATTTCCTGAAAAAAAAAAAAAAGGTGCCTACACCCTTTTCAAAATACATCTGTAGGGAATTTACATGGTGCCTTTGCACCATGCAGTATACCTGAAGTTCCTGCACCCACTAACACGTTGTGGGTTGAGATATGTGTTGGGGGTGCCATTAAGAATGAATGATTGAATCTCTACAGAGCAGTGAATTTTGGCTGCAGGTGGTTGTGGATGCAGGAACAGCTGTGATTCCAGTCCCCGCTACAGTGTGAACCTAGGTTGAGGGCTCTGTTTACTCTTGTGCCCTGCTACCAGCTCTCACAACCATTTCGGTATGTCATGCTGCAGCTAACTGGGCTAGGGCAATGAACAACCAATATGACCCTGTGTTTCAGGATCATTCCGATACAGAGAACTGTCCTGCTCTGCTTTTTTGTGTGGATGTTCTAGAACATGTCATGAGACAAATTTTCAGAATTGCGCTAATCTCCTGCCTGCAAAAGGCATCTCACACATGTGCATTTCCAAGGAAGACATCTGTTTGGTAAGGCACCTGTCCAATTCAACAAAGAGGTCACAGAAGGGGATGTTTTACTTCCACAATGAAAGCTACCAAAAAAGCTCCTAGCTCCTCTAAATACAGAGCATCTTGCCACTCTAATCAGACTTTAATGCCAAAACCAAAGTTCAGCCCTTTCTTTTAGCACAAAGCTTAGCCCACAAAGGTCACCAAGTATTCCCCAAAGCCATTTTCTTTCAATTCATTTTTATTCAAGTTTTTTTCAAAGATGGTAAAGAATGAATGATCGTGACATTAGCAGAAATAGTCATATACATGTCAAAAATTATTCCGGCTAGACACAGCAAATTTAATACAGAAGGATAGAAAATATTATGCTGATTCTACGCCAAAAATTAAAAAATGCACGGTTGTTGCCCAACAAGACACAAATTAAACATAAGAAAAAGTAAAAAGTATACAGGGAGAAAACAATCCAAAAGAACTTGGACAAAGAAGAGAGAAGATGGAGTAGCGAAAAAAAAAACTGTAACTCCATAAAAAAAAAGAGAGAGAGTGCATCTATTAGCAATATGTATCTTTTATAACATCCATCATTATCAAAAGTCCGAGAGCTTGAATAGAACATTACAACAAAACCATCTAGTATCAAAAACCCGTAGAGTATGATTTGAAATTGTATTGGACCTTTCTTACAGGTAATGAGAATGTACTCTATGGATAACCTCCAAAACTGAAGGAGATATAATGGATTTCCATGCTTTGGTAAGAGTTAATCGTGCAGCAATTAGAATGTGAGCGACCACTGTGCGGGATTGGACTGGAAATAAATTCAACGTAAGATTTAATAACGCCAAATGGGGATTGGGATTCGTATATACTTTGGGCACTCGAGAGATCAAATGAAACACATCTTTGCAAAACTCCAGATGCACCTACAATCCCACAATACATGTAGTAAAGTTCCAATACCACCACAATTCCTCCAACATGAAGAAGATGCATCAGAATACATTTTTGAAAGTTTAAATGGGGTAATATAACTGCGGTGTAGGATTTTGAGGGAGCTATCCCAATGATTAGTACACTTCGAAAGGCTTATATTACAGGACCAAGCTGCCCGCCACTCCTCTGGAGTGAAAGATCTATTCAGATCCCGTTCCCATTTTTCCACATATGTTAATACAGCGTGATCTGGATCATCTTGCAAAAATCTGTAGAACCACGATATACCCTTTTTCAGTCCCAACGGGTTTGTCAAAGCTTGCCAGATCTTTGAGTCCACCTCCACCCATGCATTGGGAGTGGCAGCAAGATAAGCCTAGATTTGAAGGTATGGATAAAGGCTTTCCCTGGAGGACATAGTAGGGATATCCGAGTAATTGAAAAAGCCCACATCTCGCAAAGGCTTCGTATTAAGATTGGGAATGATATGGTCATAAGTTGCCAGTGGAATGTCCAGCCGTATTTTAGGGATAGCGAGAGTAGATTTAGATAAACCTATTAGCCAGGCACCCAAGGTAGCCAAGATCGAAGGAAGATAGGTACGTATTAACTTTGGAGAGATAATGTTTGCTAGTATTAATGCCTGGAGGTCTTGAGCCAGGACTGTACTCCTCTCTATTTGTATCCATAACTTATCCGAGTGGTTGAACCAATGTTGGAGTTGGTACAGTAATGCCGCGTAATAATAGTTGGATATTACAGGGAGATCTACACCCCCCTTAGATTTATGTTTACACGAGAGATGAGAATGGAATTCTAGGTTTCCTCCCTTTTTCCAAAGATATTTTTTCAATGCTATATCCAATTTATTAAAGTAGGAATGTGGAATGAGGATTGGAATCGTCCTGAAAAAAATATAAACGTTTAGGCAGGATCAACATCTTAAAGACCAATAATCTACCCAACCAGGAGAGTTCAGTTTTTTCAACAGTGCCTGAATTGCCAACAAGAGGGAAAGGACTCCTTCAACAGTGCCTGTACGGGAACTTATCTTTAAGGCTCTGCAAAAATTTCTTTGAAATACCTTTAGGAAGCACACAAGATTTAGTAATATTGTGTTTATAGTAAGAGACCATGCTAAACGTATCCAGGGTAGAGGACATTGCTGTCTGGGAAGTCAAAGGGTCCGTTACGGTAAGAATGACATCATCCGCAAATAGACCGATCTTGTGGGACATATGTGCAGTCGTTATACCAGAAATCAAGGGATTCAGTCTAATTGAGGTCGCCAAGGGTTCCATCACCAATGACAAAATGATAGAAGAAAGAGAACATCCCTGTCTAGTCCCATTTGTAATTGAAAAAGGTTCCGATAAAGCATTGGATGTGAAAACTTGCACTGGGCACAGTATATAGCGCTGTAATAGCTGATCTAATGTATCCATGCAAACCAAAGTTGCCAAGAGTAGAGTCGAGGTATTGCCAATGAACTCTGTTGAATGCCTTTTCTGCATCCAAAGCCAGAAATACAGTCTGCGAGTTACGGAGTTCAGCAATCCGTAACAGATTAAGCACTCTACGTGTGAAATCTGCTGCCTGCCTGCCTTTAACGAAACCTACTTGATCTGATTGTTAACGGTAACTCCTTCTCTTCTCCAATCTAGTGGCAATGATTTTAGCAAAGAGTTTAAGATCTGTATTAAAGATATGGGGCAAAAGTTTTGAGGACAATCTGGGGATTTGCCTGGTTTGGGTAAAGTAACTATAATTGCTTTCAACATCTCCGGGGGAAAGACCGCCGTACCGGCTGCCTCCAGGAACACTTTTTTAAGGTGGGGCAATAAAATGTCTTGAAATTCCTTATAGTATTCTGCCGTGAATCCGTCCGTCCCAGGCGATTTCCCCTTGGGTAACACTTTAATGGCGGCTCTCACCTCCATAATCTGATTATAGATTGGTTCAAAATTTCCAAATTAGACTGATCCAGTCGAGGCAGAGAGAGACCCTCAAAAAAAATTCTTAATAAGAGCAGGGGTAGGCTGATGCATGTTGGGATCATCTTGGAGATTATACAGTTGAGCGTAGTAGGCCCAAAATGCCTCCGCAATTTTGTTAGGATGGAAGACCTTTTTCAGCGATATGGGATCTATAAGTGAAGGGATTTTGGCTTTTGCCTGTTTAGTGTTGATGTGGGAGGCCAGTAATCTACTGGCCTTATTATCCTGGGTGTAGTAATTAGTTTTGGCCCTTCTAAGGTATTTTTCATGCTGGACTAAGAAGTTCCCAAAGAGCTAATCAATGAGAATGTAAATCCTGTAATACCTTATCAGACAAACTCTGTTTGTGTTTGGGATTCTAAACAAGCGATCTTAGATAGGATGTCAACCATAGCACTCTGTCTATGTTTTTTCTCCCTGGAAGCTAACTGGAGTAGTACACCTCGGCAAACAGCCTTATGTGCACACCACACGTTAAATATATCAGTTTCTGAGTATGCATTCATAGTAAAATACTCCTGCAATGATTTAGAAATATGTGAGCAACTACTCGGTTTAAGGAACATAGAAGTATCATTGCGCCACAGGAATACTGGTGAAAACTTTTAATTCTCTTTAATGCTGAGGGATATGGGCGTGTGGTCTGACCACATCATAGGATGGATGGTTGCTTTGGTCACATTCTGAAGAAGTTGTAATTCGGTCAGGAAATCGATTCTCGAGTAGGATTTGTGCGGGGACGAGTAGTATGTGAAGTCTCTCTGAATCATGGAGACACCTCCAAGGATCACAGAGATTGGACTCCTGAACGGTCGACGCCATCGAACACCGTACCCTCAGAGAGTGCCTTCGGACACAGCGGATCACCGATCACGGAAAGAGGCGAGGATGTCAGCTCGGTCATGTGATCAGCTCTTTCCAATCACAGCTGATCGCATGTAAACAGGGAAATGCCGGTTATCGGCATTTCTCTCCCCTCGAGCTGTAACGCTGAGAGCCGGTAATTGGCTGTCTGCAGAGGGGACATGTACACTGATCATCAGGGCACTGATGATCAGTGTGCCCTGCTGATCAGTGTAGCCCCAGCAGTGCCACCTGTCAGTGTCCATCAGTGCCTTATGTCAGTGCCTTGTGCCAGTGCACATCAATGCCACATATCAGTGCCCATCTGAGCTTCCTTTCAGTGTCACCCATCAGTGCCAGTCAGTGCTACCTATCAATGCCAATCAGTGCTGCCAGTCAGTGCCCCCTATCAGTGCTGCCTATCAGTGCCATGTATCAATGCTGCCTTTCAGTGCCAATCAGTGATGCCTGTCAATACACATCAGTGCCACCTACCAGTGCCTCCTCATCAGTGCCACCTATCAGTGCCCATCAGTGCACCCTCAGCGCACATCAGTGAAGGAGAAAAATCACTTATTTACAAAATTTTATAACAAAAACTAAGAAACATTTTTTTTTCAAAATTGTCTGTGGTTTTTGGTTTAGGAAAAAATAAAAAACCCAGAGGTGATTAAATACCACCAAAATAAAGCTCTATCTGTAACAAAAAAATTATAAAAATTTTCATTCCAACTGCGACAGCGCTGAAAGCTGGAAATTGGCCTGGGCAGGGAGGGGGTATAAGTCCCTTGTAGGCTAGTGGTTAACCTCCTCGGCGGTATGATTCTGTCCGATTTTTTTTGTGCTGAAAGCGGTACCATTTTTATGCATGGAATTATGTAGTTTTTTATTGTAGGCTGTAATTTTTAGGAATAACTCACTGAAATCTGTACGAACAAGAGTCTAGTAAACATTCCGGATATGATAAAACTTGAAACACGAAATCATAAATTATAATTTAATAATCATAAAAAATAATATAATAATAAATTTAATTCAATAATGTAATCAAACCAAAAACACTGAAATTTGAAATACAGAGGCAAATTCGCACATCGCTGAGCAAAGTCGCAAAATTGTTTTCAGTGTCTGATGACGAATTTCCCCACAAATCATTATCACTCAATTCTGAAAGTGGTTCTGATTTACTATCGCTGTTCTCTAGCTGGTCTAAAACTGCTTTTGACTTAATGGGACGCTTTTTGGACGCCATGGACTTCTCTAAGTTTCTAGAACAGTCAAAATGCAGGCAGGGCACAGGACAAAGCAGTAGGGACAAAATATATGTGAAATGCATTGAAACAGCAATGACAGCAAAAATGAAATTTTTTAAAAATTTCAAATTTGCTGCCGTTCCGGCGCCCGTACGTCCCGACGTCACAGGGACCGGAACACGGAAGCTGGATGCCGGCATCGGCCGGAGGAGATGGCCGGGGACGCTGCAGGGGACACATCGCGGGAGCGAAGGACAAGGTAAGTGCTGCAGGGACTTCCTGAGCAACGCCGCATGGTAAGCCCGAGTGTAGCTCGGGCTTACCAAAAACAGCACAGCAATGTCGGCATGTATAAAACCACTCACAATAACCAGCTCTCCCTGGAGCAGATGCACAGACAACCCCATCATCAGAGACAGTTCAGTGTCCCATAAGAGTTCCTGAGATAAAGCAGATGCTGATACTCTGTTAGAAAAATCAGAAATAATAGAAAGGAGAGAAAATTGGGGAAAAACAAATTAAAGAACACACATTAAGAAAGGGCAGGTGAACCGAATCACTTCAACAGGTTGGGGGGTAAATTCCAGGACCCGCGAGCAGACGTGCCCGCCAACGGAACACGGTACTGGACTAGAGGAGGAACTCTTCCTCGACCCAAGCAAAGCAAATCCGCCACTTTGTCCCAATCAGAGGAAACTTTCCTAGGAGATGATTTAGCGGACGGCATGTCTCCTTCTGCAGGTATAATCCCCCATTTCTTCACAAGCTAAAATTCTTCTTCTGAGGTGACAGTAAACGGTTATCCTTTGTAATCAACAATTTAGTGGGGAAGCCCCACTGATATTCTATGTTGTTATTACGGAGCAATTTTGTAAAGGAGAGCAATTTTTTACGGGCAAGAATGGTATACTGGGAGAGGTCAGCGAACCGCAATATTCCGTTATACGGTGCCGGTAATGGATTATGCGTTCTCGCAAAGGCTATCAGTGACTCCTTCACATAGTAGAAGTGAAATCTGGCAATGACGTCCCTGGGGACATGGTCAGGAAGAAAGGAAGTTTTCGGCAGTCTGTGCGCTCTATCCACAATCACATCCCTTTCAGACAGACTCGGCAATAAAGCTGTAATCAATTGCTGAATATATCTTCTAAGATCTGCGGAGGGAACTGTTTCTCTCACCCCCCTGAATTTAATATTATTTCTACGTGAGCAATCTTCCAGATCTGCCATTTTTGATTTTAGCGCCTTCAATTCCTCTTCCGCGTCATTGTGCGCATCCACTAGTTCGTTGTGGGCAGTCGCAAAATCTCCCATTTTAGTTTCCACATGATTGACCCGCTCTCCTAGATTCTCAACCTCTGCATTCACCCATGTCACAAAACTCATCATGTCGTTGCGTAAAAAACCTTTAAGAGTGACAAGCATATCTTTCATAACAGAAGCGGTCAGAGGCAGATTTTCAGTAGGGTAATCTTCCAAATGCTCAACTAACGCACTGGTATGATTATGAGAAAAGGAATCATTAATGTGCTCACCAGGCAGCTGTGGATCAGAAGAGCAGCGCTTTTTTGCTTTTGTTTTGCTTTTGAGGGCTGCTGGCATGTGTAGTTCCTGCAGGTTGTACAGGGCTAGGAGGCTGAGACTGCTGAGAGTGGGAACGAGGACTCTCCTCTGTCATATATGGCTGTAGGGAAGGAGAGGTGCTGGTGACCGGCTCCATCTTGGGAGGAGGAGGGGCCGCCCGCTGGAGTAAAGAACTCCGTTAGTTTGCGGGGCCCCTCTTTGATCTTTCTTTTCCCCATACGCGGGGATCGGTTTCCACACTGTTCGGGCAAGTGCCAGGTGAGGAAGGGTCACACTACCCTGTCCCTTGTCACTGGGAGCCGCGGTGATTGCGGGCGGGTCCCGGAGCTCCTGCACTAAGCGGCTATCCCCGTCGGCAGCCGGCCACGCCCCCCCCCCCAAAGCCATTTTCACAAGGGGTGATGTCTGTTCTTGTTTGTCACTCTCTGGATCACAGATGTCTCACACCTGTTTGTTCATTTGCTAGTTTCAAAGAGGTACAAATTAGGATGCAAAACTCTCCCCCTTCATCACTATCTTATTTCAGATCAAACAAAAGCTCCCCAAAGACAGGCTACGTTCACACTAGCATTGTGTGCAGGCGGCAGAGAGCCGTTTGGGAAGCGTTTTTACCGCTTCCCAAACGCCTCGGACAATTCTGCACATTGCAGCACATGGTGCTGTTCTAACGGGAGCGTTAGCGTCGCGGTAAAACGGACACCCCTGGTCGAGTCAGGAGGCGTGAAAGCCTCCTATTCTAGTTTATGGTGCCGCTCCGCAAACGCCCGGCCAGTGCGGTTGCGGGGCGTTTGCGGAGCGGTAACACCATTTAAACTTCATTATAGGTGTTTGTGGGGCTTTTTAAATGCTCGACAAAATCCTAGCATCCACCGCTAAACCGGTCCGTTTGCGGAGCATTAAAAACCGCTCCGCAAACGCCGGACCAATGCTTGTCAAATGCTATAGGGGCATTTGGCAAGCATTGGTAAAACAGTCAAGTGTGAACGAGCCCTTAGATTTGTACAATGCTCTGAGTCATCTCTTGTTCCAGGGAGTAGTTTTGCCAGTACCGCAACAATACAGTTTTAAAGGATTCTACACAAACCTGTTTACAGTACCAAAACCCAGTTGGGCTATTTGTCCTATTCTGGACAAAATAGTCCTCAATAGATTACTTCAATGTACAAAATTTTGCATAGCACCTGCAGGGTCAGTAATTACCTATCTGATACATGGCATCTGTGAACATACAAGATGCCTACTGTATGTTCCCGCTTATCAGCACTTTCTATGCTTCACAGTGGCACACAGTTCCAGTTTGTCGCACTGCCTTTTTGCCTATCTTTGTCTCGCAGAGTGTTCATAAAGGTCCTAGCACTTCTGTTTGCCCCTCTCTAAACTGAATATTTGTATGCATAGCTCAACAGCTCAAGTTCAGATTTACACACCTCAGTTAATTAGTCAAAGGAATGACTGCTCTCTATGGGATTGCTTTGTCTAAAAGTACAACACAAGGGACTTTCATCTCCCTTTCTCTCTAAAAGTCTAACTTCTGTTGTTAATTTCCTTGTCTCAGTGACCACACGTAAAGTGAGGAATTATGTCTTCAATGATTACAGATGCAGGCATAAAATTCAAATAAAGGTTTCAGTCTATCTGCATTTTGTCCAAGAAAAAAATTATTTTAAAACACTTCACAATTACACAAGAATGCTGCTACCTCCTGTGTGATTTATGTTTTCATGCTAAAATTTAAAGGTGTAACTAAAGGCAAAACATTTTTGGTTTTGGCTAGAGTAGAGAGGGATTAGAACACCTGTCAGTTTTTATTGTTGACTGTGTCTCTGCTGGGGAGTTTTGTCTTGTTTCTCATTATCATTGAATGTGAAAGTAAAAGAAAACAACAAATTTTGGGTTGACATCCGAACAGTAATAAAGGGGAAATCATCCAATGGTGATAATCCTGGATTCCCTCACTTTGGTGTGATTTCCTCTCGCTTCCCATTTTGGCTATGGAACAGGAAGTGAAGGGAAATCTCTCATATAGGCAAAAAATAAAACCTGGCAGGTTATAACTCTCCCTAACCTCTATCAAAAATAGGGGAAAAAAACTTTAACTTATATGAATCCTTATCCCTTGGTCAGAACTTATATATTTTGATAGACTGCTTGAAACCAGCATGTCAGAAATAATAACTGTTCAGAGACCCGCCTGGTCAAAAAATCTGGGGACAATAGATCGACATGTCTGGCCTAGCCACTTTTAAATTGGTTAGAGATGGACTTTTTCTAAGAGGAGTGTGTTATTTTATTATTGGATTCCAGATAATTCTCCTGTGTTTGCATTTGGGGGCCTGTTCACATAGCTTTTCCCTGGTTATAGTATTTGTTTCCTCTGGGAGGTATCATATTATGATTGGATATAAGAATTTGGAATGTTTGTAACCTGTTGGAGTGGAACTTGACTTGTCAAAGAATAGTGGCACACCACAAGTTGACTATTGGATGTTTGAACCAGTGCTGTAAATGTTTTGTTTGAAATAAAACTGCTAAAAATAGGACTTACCTGGTAAGGAAACTGGTCAGGTGAAAGCAACACTCGGATATGAAAATTACCATTATTTAAAACATTTCCGCTATATGACCATTTTTATTTTTGTCTATACAGGACCACACCAGATGCTTTAGGATTGCAGGTTGATTACTGGCTAACTTGTGATCGGAGAAAAGAGAGAGAGGGAGGAGGGAAAAACACTCTGCGCAGTATTTTCCGTTCTGTGGTTGTATCACGCCTGCCTGGACCAGACACACCACCTGGTAGCATGAGCCTAAGTGTGGTGACTACAGAGCCTAAAA